CAGTTTCTCTGCGTTGTGGAATCTGAGGGTCCTTCCACAGGGTCAGGCATGTAGCCGGGGGGGGGGGGTCTTGACAGCTTCATTCCCCCCCACCCCGAAATTCTGATGGTGGTCCTCTTTCACTCAGACTCAGCCCCCTCCCCAAACCAAACTCAGCCCCCCCCCCCCCCTGAAACAAAATCCTGGCTACGGGCCTGCACAGGGTCCTTCTATATCCCAGAATATCAAGCCAGAAAATCCCACAATCTCTGCTTTGAACTGGGTTATTTGAGTCCACACTCAGATAATGTGGGATTTTGTGCCTTGATATTCTGGGATATAGGGCTGTGTGGAAGGAAGGACCCTGAGCTCAAAAAATAACCCTCAGTTGGGATGATTCCACCATAAATATAGCAGAGTATCAGAAGTAAACCTCATAACCAGCAGAAACTCATGTGTGGTGAGCTGGGATAGGATGGCTCAGGATTGCAGAGTCAGAACTTTAGGTTCAAAATATTTATAGGGGTAAAAAAAAATACATTCTTGATAGAAAAGGCCTTGGAGCTAACTAGCTTGCTAAGCCTCATTTTCCAAAAGGGGGTAAAAGGTTAAAAGAAATCCATGCAGCTACATTTTGCCTAGAGAGAGGCAAAATGTGTCCTTACTGGAAGGAAGAAAAAACAGAAGAGACAAAAACTGTGGAGACCGCATAATCAACCCAAGGCAATAAAACTTAAAGAAGTTCCCTCACAGATTTCCATTGCTACATCATCAAAGGGGGAGGAGAGAGGAAGAGTAAAAATTCCTATGCATGTTTTCTGGGAAAACATGCATAGGAATGTGAGGGGAGGAATCCCTCGGCTTGCCTCTGTCCCTAGCCTAGCTACTCATTGAGGTCTGGAAACTTGATGACACAAGAAACTTGATCAGTCTGGGGATGAAACCCAACACTCTGAAACAGCCAGAATCAGAATCTAAGAGAAAGATTTTCCAATACTTCCAGTTTTTAGCTATTTCTGTTCTGCTTATTATGCAAGGAATAGTGACAAAAGATTGTGATTTTCATCTTCAAATACCGAGAGAAGCAAAAGAAATCCTTACATTTTGTTTGGATGGTTTTGCAGGGGGAAACAATCTACTCCACTGGGGACAAATCCTTGTGTATATGGAGAATGTTTAATGCAGGGATCCTCAAACTAAGGCATGGGGGCCAGGTACGGCCCCCCAAGGTCATTTACCCGGCCCTCGCTCAGGGTCAACCTAAGTCTGAAACGTCTTGAAGGCACACAACAACAACAACAACAACAACAACAATCCTATCTCATCAGCCAAAAACAGGCCCACTCTTCCCACTAAAATATTAATGTTTATATTTGTTTAAGTTGTTCTTCATTATAATTATTGTATGTTTTAAAGTGTTTTTTGCACTACAAATAAGATGTGTGCAGTGTGCATAAGAATTCATTCATGTTGTTTTCACATTATAATCCGGCCCTCCAACAGTTGGAGGGACTGTGACCTGGACCTCTGTTTAAAAAGTTTGAGGACCCCTGGTTTAATGAGTAGACCGTGATCTGTTTATCAGAAAGTGTTTATAGGACTGAACCTGGGATATGGCACACCCATGTACTCCACTATGAAGCCTTCTCCTTACTATCACATTTCTTCCTAAGGTCCCACCAGCAAAGAGTTTTAGAGTTTCAAAGACTGGAGGAAGCCCAGCCTCCAAAAACAGCTCCCCCTTGGCAACCATTGTGTTCCCCGCTCCCTCTTCAGGCTTCCTTTTAGCAGAATGCTGCTACAAAGCGGTGAATTTGGAAGCCTCTGCCCACAGATGTTTCTGTCATCAGTTTTCAATTATGTCTTTCCCTCCTTCGTCTGTCAGTGCCTCATTTGCTCATTTTCCTTTCACTACAGCTTATTACCAGAGGGAGAAAGTGTTATGCAATAATGAGACAGCCGGAGTAGAGAGAGGAGGAGACAGTCTAGCGGCCCTTATATTTAGGATCGGGAGCTGGCAAGTCCTAAGATTTAATCAGATGTAGATCTCCCTCGGAGCCATGCCTTCTCTCCATGCAATGCGCTTACTAGATCAGCTGGTTCAACAGAAAGTTTTAGACAGGGTAGTTTCTCCCTAAACAAGCACTTACTCTACTAGGGCAATTAAAATGGGAGCTGGGATGTGAGTTTCCTATACATAAACCATACTGAGTTAGAATTAATGTTTCTCTATCTGAGCGTCAGCCTAATTTATATGCATAAGGTGCAAGGTGATGAGGAAAGTGAAAAAGGAATAGCTATTTGTATGGTAATGTAGTCACCTCTCCACATTTGTGGATTTGATTATTCATGGATTTAATTTAAATGCTTTTCTTGAGGAATCTCTAGATCAGTAGTTCTCAACCTGGGGTCCCCAGATGTTTTTGGCCTACAACTCCCAGAAATCCCAGTCAGTTCACCAGCTGTTAGGGTTTCTGGGAGTTGAAGGCCAAAAACTTCTGGGGACCCCAGGTTGAGAACCACTGCTCTAGATCCTCCAGTGTGACTCCAGCAGAAGTTGTGTTGGAGGACCTAGAGCAGTTCCCAACCTGTGGTCCATGGATGACCAGTGGTCCACAAGTATGAAAATATGGTGCATGGTCACCATTACTACACTGTTGCCTCGAAACCACGCGGCAAGGAGAGCAACTGGTCTCGCGAAACCATCTTATAGTGCCGAGGCAATGGGGATGTCGGGAGGGGAGAGGCTGACTACCCATAAAAGCTTACTACTATCATATCAGCTCTAGATTATAAAATATGGTTTTCTGTGGGCGAGCAGATGGTGACTACTAGATGGCATATGTTCTGTATCAGAAACCAGAGCTGATAAGGCTATCAAATGCAATTTTCTGAATCAGCACCCCAAATAACCAAACCAGATTTAAAGTTGACCAAAAATTTATTCGTAACCTTTTTGGTACTAATGTTCAAGAGTGGTCCCTGGTCAAAGTTCTCCCTGATCAAATGGTCCCTGGTCAAAAATAGGTTGGGAGCTACTGACCTAGAGATTGGCATTTATTCCACTTTCGTGGGGGTCTCACCAAAGCAAACATGCAGGGTGACAGTGGGATGAAACAGCATGTGGTGAAGTTGAACATGTCGCAGAATAAAAACAAAATATTTGCTATGGACCTCTATTTCACAAGATATTGATATTTTCATTCACAAAAGGTAATGAAATGCAAAGATGCAGAATGGGGGATACCTGGCTCGAGAGCAGTACGTGTGAAAAAGATCTTGGAGTCCTCATGGACAACAAGTTAAACATGAGCCAACAATGTGATGTGGCCGCAAAAAAAAAGCCAATGGGATTTTGGCCTGCATCAACAGGAGCATATTGTCTAGATCTAGGGAAGTCATGCTACCCCTCTATTCTGCTTTGGTTAGACCACACCTGGAATATTGTGTCCAATTCTGGGCACCACAATTCAAGAGAGATATTGACAAGCTGGAATGTGTCCAGAGGAGGGCGACTAAAATGATCAAGGGTCTGGAGAATAAGCCCTATGAGGAGCGGCTTAAGGAGCTGGGCATGTTTAGCCTGAAGAAGAGAAGGCTGAGGGGATATGATAGCCATGTATAAATATGTGAGAGGAAGCCAGAGGAAGGAGGGAGCAAGCTTGTTTTCTGCTTCCCTGGAGACTAGGACGCGGAACAATGGCTTCAAACTACAAGAGAGGAGATTCCATCTGAACATGAGGAAGAACTTCCTGACTGTGAGAGCCGTTCAGCAGTGGAGCTCTCTGCCCCGGAGTGTGGTGGAGGCTCCTTCTTTGGAAGCTTTTAACAGAGGCTGGATGGCCATCTGTCAGGGGTGATTTGAATGCAATATTCCTGCTTCTTGGCAGGGGGTTGGACTGGATGGCCCATGAGGTCTCTTCCAACTCTTTGATTCTATGATTCTATGAATGAAAATATCAGTGTGTTGATGCAAACACCTTGTGGTTCTGCTCTCCAGTGTAAAGACATAGGATGGCTTTTTCAATTATTACCCATTCTTTATGTCAGGGCGGGCAATTCACACCACTACAGGTATGGACTTTGACTCCCAGAAGACCTAGCCAACAGTTGAGGGGGTGATGGGAGCTGCATTTAACAACACTTGGGCTCCTTCTTTGTTGTTTATTTGTTCAATTGCTTCCGACTCTTTGTGACCTCATGGACCAGCCCACGCCAAAGCTCCCTGTCAGCCATCACCACCCCCAGCTCCTTCAGAGTCAAGCCAGTCACTTCAAGGATACCATCCATCCATCTTGCCCTTGGTCGGCCCCTCTTCCTTTTTCCTTCCATTTCCCCCAGCATAATTGTCTTCTCTAAGCTTTCCTGTCTCCTCATGATGTGGCCAAAGTACTTCATCTTGGCCTCTACTATCCTTCCCTCCAGTGAGCAGTCGGGCTTTATTTCTTGAAGTTTGGACTGGTTGGATCTTCTCGCTGTCCAAGGCACTCTCAGAACTTTCCTCCAGCACCACAGTTCAAAAGCATCTCTCTTCCTTTGTTCAGCCTTCCCTATGGTCCAGCTCTCACATCCGTAGGTGACTACGGGGAATACCATTGCTTTAACTATGCGAATCTTCATTGCCAATGTGATGTCTCTACTCTTCACTATTTTATCCTTCCATTTCCCCAGCATCATTGTCTAAGCTTTCCTGTCTTCTCATGGGCCCCTTCTACACTACCCTATATCCCAGGATATGATCCTAGATTATCTGTTTATCCCAGATTATCTGGTAGTGGAGACTCATATAATCCAGTTCAAAGCAGACGATCTGGGATCAGATCCTGGAATGTAGGGTAGTATAGAAAGGGCCTCAGAGGACCACAGATGCTTGCTGCTGCTTTATGTGTCCAGTTTTCATTTCTAGGAGTTGTTGGATACAAGGCTGTGTAGTTTTTTTGTCCAACATAACTGCAATGAAAGGAATCGGATGTTGCTATAAAGATTTATAGAGTTGCTTCTTCTTTTTTCTTTTTGTAAAGGAACTCCTCCGAACTCAACAAAATGGGAACAAGAATGGCTTCAAAACCGAACAAAATACTACAGGTAACTTTTCACAGATTTTATCTTCTAGTGTTAATGCCTCCTCTAAGTACAGCAGCTATGACTCATTCACATTTCATGTTTTGTTCACCAGGAAATGGGAGCATTTCTGTTGAATTCAGAAAAAGGAATCAGCAAAGCCAAGGTGGTGTCTATGCAAACAACAACCAGCTGCAAAATGAGGAGGAAAGGGAACATTTCACCTTGCCACAGACACAGAAGCTCAAACAGCAGAACAAGGATGACCTTAAGCAAGGTATTAGGGTGGAGTCTTACCTACTTTGAGACTAAGATTAAATCTTCACCAGCTGTTTTGTGTGATTATTTCTCTTCTTCAAGGTTGCTCCAGAAAGTGGCTTGATTGGTCATTTGGTTGGGCCCTGAGCAGTTCAGTAAAATTGCCAATATTCAGGTCTTGTTTCTTCAAGGTTAAATTTCCACCCTTGTCTTGAGTGTGCCGTGTGTTGAAGGGCTCTCCAAGTCCTGGTGCCAGATATAATCTCAACAGATTCCCCAAGCATTGCCATTAGAAACACCCCTTTGTGCAACTGTGTGGACAAGGTGCATTACAATGGGCACACTTCAGTCTCATATTCTGTTTTTCTAACCTTCCCTAACTGGCAACCTTCAGTCAGTACTGAAGCCCCCGGTGGCAAAGTGGTTCTCAAACTTCTTAATGCTACGACCCCTTAATAGAGTTCCTCATGTTGTTGTGACCCCCAACCATAACATTATTTTCGTTGTTACTTCAGAACTAATTTTGCTACGGTTATGAATGGTAATGTAAATATCTGATATACAGGATGTATCTTCATTCACTGGACTAAATTTGGCACACATATCCGATACGCCCAAATTTGAGTATTGGTGGAGTTAGGGCTGGGATTGATTTTGTCATTTGGGAATTGTAGTTGCTGGGATTTATAGTTCACCTACAATCAGAGCATTCTGAACTCCACCAACAATGGAATTGAACCAAACTTGGCATACAGAACCATAACCAACAAAAAATACTGGAAGGATTTGGTGGGCATTGACTTTGAGTTTTGGAGTTGTAGTTCACCTACATCCAGAGAACACGGTGGACTCAAACAATGATGGATCTGGACCAAACTTGGCACGAATACTCCGTATGCTCAAATGGGAGCACTGGTGGAGTTTGGGGGAAAATAGACCTTGACATTGGGGAGTTGTAGTTTCTGGGATTTATAGTTCGCCTACAAGCATTCTGAACCCCTCCAATGATAGAATTGGCCAAAATTCCCACACAGAACCCCTGTGACCAACAGAAAATGCTTCCAAAAAGGAAGAGAAGGACAGGCAGAGAGATCTTCAGCCTCCTCTGCTAAAGGGATTCCTAAGACTATCCGAAATATGTGTTTCCTGATGGCGTTTGGCGACCCTTCTGACACCCCCTCGTGAACCCCAGGTTGAGAAATGCTGGGTTAAACTCTTGTCCTGGCAGGACTGCTGACTGGTCAGCAGTTCGAATCCAGGAAGCAGGGTGAGCTCCGATCTATCAGCTCCAGCTTCTCATGCGGGGACATAAGAGAAGCCTCCCATAGGATGGTAAAACATCCTGGCATCCCCTAGGCAACATCCTTGCAGATAGCCAATTTTCTCACACCAGAAGCAACTTGCAGTTTCTGAAGTCACTCCTGACACAAAAAAAAGTCCGCACTGACAAAGGACAGAATTGTTGAAAAAAAATGTTATGTGCCTTCAAGTAAGGTCTTACTTAATGGTGACCCTAAGCCAGTGGTTCTCAACCTTCCTAATGCTGCGATCTCTTAATACAGTTTCTCATGTTGTGATGACCCCCAACCATAAAATTATTTCCATTGCTACTTCATAACTGTAATTTTGTTACAGTATCATTATATGAATATCTGATATGCAGTATATATTTTCATTCACTGGACCAAATTTGGCACACATACCTGATATGCCCAAATTTGCATACTTTGGGGGGATTGATTTTGTCATTTGGGAGTTGTAGTTGCTGGGGTTTATAGTTCACCTACAATCAAAGAGCATTCTGGACACCACCAATGATGGAATTGAGCAATAGAAATGAGCAACAGAAAATACTGGAAGGGTTTGATGGGCATTAACCTTGAGTTTTGGAGTTGTAGTTCACCTACATCCAGAGAGCACTGTGGACTCAAACAATGATGTATCTGGACCAAACTTGGCACGAATCCTCAATATGCCCAAATGTGAACACTAGTAGAGTTTGGGGAAAACAGACCTTGACATTTGGGAGTTGTAGTTGCTGGGATGTATAGTTCACCTACAATCAAAGAATATTCTGAACCTCACCAACGATAGAATTGGGCCAGACTTCCCACACAGAACCCCCATGACCAACAGAAAATAATGTGCTTTCTGATGGTCTTTGGCGACCCCTCTGACACCCCCTTGTGACCCCCCTCGGGGTCCTGACTCCCAGGTTGAGAACCACTGCCCTAAGCTGATCTTTTACATCTCATTACTTTTTAGGAGGTTACTTTTTGCACAAAACATTGCTTTACTCCCAAATCCCAAGTTTTGCACAAAAAAAGTATTTTGTTTGCAAAATGAAATTCCCCAAATTCAAATAAAACTTGAAAAACGGCCACAAATTCTTGTAATATCACTCAGTAGGAAAATATAGGTTTGAAATCCTTTATTCTTCTATGCTACATATTCCTGCTATATACATGCATCCCTTTCCTGTTGTAAATACTGTGCTGGATGTCGTGGATGATTTTTCCCTTTCTGGCTTCTAACAGGATATTTGAAGTCTGGCCATCCATAATCATATTCCAGCAAGAATTCTAAAAATGGAGGGATGTTCTTTATATAGAGCAGAGGGTCAGCGACGAGCAAGAATGAATGCAGTGTTTAAATCGCTGAGAGAGATATCTTTGTGCCGATGGGGAGAAAGATGTTATTCTGCTCTTGTGATGCTTCTTCCCCTTTGCCTTCGTGGTGCTTGCATAAGGTCTGCAGAGACTAGTGCTACGGTGCTTGAATCGTTTCCTCCTCCTCTCCCCGCTCCACCTGGTTTTCAGATCTTGGTAGTAATGTCGTATAATTTTATTCTTTTTGCTTATGACCTTTCCAGAGCAGTGTCCTCTGGTTGTCTCTCGTATTCCCTCTCCGAAGCTTTACATTTGACAAAAACAGGAAAAAATTTCAGGCTGGGAGTCAATGGGTTTTAACTAGGCCCACTTTGTGTATATTGGGACTCCCGATGGCACAGCAGGTTAAACCACTGAGCTGATGAACTTGCTGATCGAAAAGTTGGTGGTTCAAATCCGGGGAGCGGGGTAAGCTCCTACTGTCAGGCCCAGCTTCTGCCAACCTAGCAGTTCAAAAGCATACAGATGTGAGTAGATCAATAGGTACAGCTCCGGCGGGAAGGTAACAGCGCTCCATGCAGTCATGCTGGCCATATGACCTAGGAGGTGTCTATGAACAACGCCGGCTCTTTAGCTTAGAAATGGAGATGAGCACCACTGCCCAGAGTTGGACACGACTAGACTTAATGTCAGGGGAAACTTTTACCTTTACCTTTTTAATCTTGTCTACTGTTGGATCTTCACTCCTCCTTTCTCCATTAGTGGCAAATATCTTCTGTGGGGTGATGGGTATGTAACAACTTTGACATAGATGCAAACTACCCTATTACTCAAGTCTAATCCGCTATCGAATTTAATGCGCAACTCAATTTTGCAAACCCTGAAACCCAAAAAAGTATTTACCATATTACGCAGCAGCCAGATTACTTACTGGAGCAACATACAGGGAGCATACCACCCCCCTGTTATGTCAGTTCCACTGGCTGCCTGTCCAGTTCCGAGCACAATTCAAAGTGCTGGTCATGACCTATAAAGCCCCATATGGTTCTGGCCCAGCTTACTTGTCTGAAAGTATCTCCCCCTATGTCCAACCTTGAAACTTACAATCTTCCAGGGAGGCCCTGCTCTCGATCCCACCTTCATTGCAAATTTATTTATTTATTTCCTATATTTATGCCCTGCCCTTCTCCCCCCCCCCCCCCCCCCCCCCCCCCCCCCCCCGAAAGGGGACTCATGCGCTTGGTAGGGACAAGGACAGGGCCTTATCGATAGTGGGCCCCCGCGTGTGGAACCCGCTCTCCAGCGAAATTAGGTCAACAGCTTCCCTCCTTTCCTTCAGGAAAAAGTTGAAGACATGGCTATAGGACCAGGCATTCGGATAGCAAGCTGAAAATAAAAATGACAACAATGCTATGAAAAATGGACTATGGACAGGCTTTGGATTAAGTTGTTGATCGTAAAACTCAGACTTGACATGCCAACTAATTCAATTTGCATCATTTTCAATTATTTTTAATCTAATTTTAATATTTTACTTATTATGTAACTGTGGTTTTATCTGTTGTTTATGTAGGGCATTGAATTGTTGCCGGCTGCAAGCCACCCTGAGTCCCCCTTCGGGGGTAGGGAAGGGTGGGGTATGTTGAAATAAATAAAAATAAAGTCTAATACACATCCTAATTTTGCGCAGGTAATCTAGTCATAAAAGCTGAGCATTAGAATCGAGTAAATACGGTATCTGGATAACAGAACTGACATGTTCACAAATCAGTGTGTTTTTAAACTGCATACACCTTATTGGTAGATGCACAAAACACCCTCCCCATTTTGATGAGATTAAAGGTGCAAGACCCCCACAAACGTGGGAAAGTGGTGAATTACAAACCGCTATTCTTTCAAAAAGAGAAAACGGCTCTTTAGAAATCCCTAGGTTCTCCACTGTGACTGTGCTCAGTTTCAAACAAAGTGAAGCTGGAAGACCTACAAGTGACTTGGAATAACATAGGATAATACATAAATGCTCAAACATACAAAAGTGGAAGGCCAATTGTACAATACCTAAAAGTATAGGTGTAGGTTTTCCCCTGACATTCAGTCCAGTCATGCCCGACTCTGGGGTGTGATGCTCATCTCCATTTCTAAGTTGAAGAGTCAGCGTTGTCCGTAGACACCTCCAAGGTCATGTGGCCGGCATGACTGCATGGAGCGCCGTTACCTTCCCGCTGGAGCAGTACCTATTGATCTACTCACATTTGCATGTTTTCGAACTGCTAGGTTGGCAGAAGCTGTGGCTGACAGCAGAAGCTCACGCCGCTCCCTGGATTCAAACCTGCGACCTTTCGGTCAACAAGCTCAGCAGCTCAGCGCTTTAACCCACTGTGCCACCGTGGGCTCCTTTTGTAAAAAAAAA